CATGATTTATTTAGCGTATGGCATATCATACATGGACTAGTGATATATATTAACATTTCCTCTAGATTAATAAAACGCAATGAAATATAAATGTTAAAAAGATCTACGTGCAAATACCAATGTCTAGGCCATCTAACCATTGAAGCACAGCAGATACTGGACCGGTATAAGCCCTCGGCTTACAGCCAGCCCTGAGGTCAAATAGCACAAATGTGTAAAGAATGCACAGCCAGAACAATTATGATGTCATCCTGCCTCTTTGAACATACAGGCAGGTCATAATTAGTGTTCAAATCATGCGACACTCAATTTACTGCAAATTATAAATTGATACCAGGTTGTATTTAATGCAGGTCAAAAATTCGGTGAACGAGAGGCTAGCAAATGCACATTTGAGCCTGGCAAATACAGAATTGTGGTTTCAGATACTGTTAAACTTCCTGGGTGCAAAATGGGAGGTTCTATCAGAGGAAAACAGTAAAAAGTAACAGTTTTAAACCAGATGTTTTTGTTATTTTTACAAACTATTTTGGGGTTCTATTGTGCTTTCTCTAAACTATTGTGACCCCTAAGTTTAAATTATATGTATATTCTTATCCTTTCCTGTAATATCTCATTAATATACTTACAAAAATTCATGATTAATATATTCCCTCGTATATTTCCACCTAGCTGAAACCAATTACCATATTTTTCACAGACATATCAGTTCAGAGACCCCAAATTCAAATCAGGGGATCATTTCGTGGGATCTATTGGCAGAACTGATGGGAGACCTACACGGAGATCTATTTGGGCAGCTCAAGATGGTAAATATATTTAATATTCCCGCCTCTTCCTACTCAAATGGGAATTATTCCTTTCCTTCCGGGGGGAAGGGGTTATTCCATTACAGTGGAGAAGGAGCCGGCCTGGAAACCCAAAGATCTAAGTTCGAGTCCTGCCTTAGGTCCCAAAGCCACGCCTTCCCTCTCTTTGAGCTCGGCCCACCTCACAGGGTTGTCGTTGGAAGGGAAAAGGAAGCGGAAGAAGATGTAATTTGGAATTCCGCTGGACTTGGGCGGCTTATCCATTCAAAATAAATAACGATGAATAAAGTACGCTGCCTCAAACGAAGGCCGGAGATGGAGGGGGCTTCGCTTGGGGTCCCCCCTCCCCTCCAGCCCGCAAGACCCTCACCTCAGAGCTCCAGGGGGAGCTGAGCGGGCGAGATTCGGGGCTCCGGCCGGCCTCGCTCCCCCCTCAGCCGCCCCCTCCCCTCCGCGGCCCCGCCAACCGCCGCGCGCGCCCCGCCGCCCCCTACCTCGCAGACAGCCCGCCGGCCGCCATCTTGCCTCCCCTCCCACGTGACCTGCCCCCTCCCTCCCTCCCTCCCGCCTACCTCGCTCGCCCGCCGAGCGCACGAGGAGGAAGGGGGCGGGGCCGCCGGCGGAATGAGAGGCAGGGCGGCGCTTGCGCACTGGACCCCGCCCGCTTGACCGTTAGGCGGCCGTCTGACGTCAGCAGCGCGCGCCCGTCGTCACCGCAAGATGGCGGCGCCCGGGTAGGTGAATGAGTGACTGAGGCGACGAGGCGGAGCTCGGGGAAGGCTGAAGGGCGGCGGGATGAGATCGTAGCGCCGCTTTGCTCCAAGAGCCTCAGGCCCCGGTGTTTGTGTGTGTGTGTGTGTGTGTGTGTGTATGGCGCGCAGCCCCCCCCCCGTACGATCTGCCTCACAACAGCCCCGCAGGGTAGGCCGGGGCCAAGACGGCGCTTTCCAAGGATGATGGGGGTGGTAGTCGCAACTTGGGGAGGGGTGCGAAAGAAGTGTCTCCTGAGGTGGGCAGGGAGGCCTCGGACCGTTAGAGCCACAGCAGTCCGGGGAAGCGATTCCTCCCTGCTGAGGGCGGGGATGCCGAAAGAGGCGTTTTTGGGGTGAATAAGCAATTGATGAAAGTTTTGTCCATCGGCATCCTACCCTCTGCTTTCAGATCACAGGTAGTCCTCGACTTACAACAGTTCACTTAGTGACCGTTGAAAAGTTACTGAAAAAAAGGGACCAATGACCGCTTTTCACATACAGCTCTAGCTAAGGAGCCTGCGTTGCTAAAAATACCGCTAAAAACACAGATCAGAGGCAAAGAAGAAGGACAAAGAATAACAATGATGCAATCTGCAAAGCTCCTTTCTAAGAGCAGGCGTGGGTGAGGGAGCAGACAGATGGCCTCCGCTGGCCCCGTAACCCTTGCTGCACCGGTATTTTTTGCCTACAGGGAATCCTTGACTTACAACTGGCCGTTTAATGAGCATTCAGAGTTAATTTCCTGAGAGAACAATCAGTGAAATGACTTGCCTCCAGAACTTGTGGATCCTGGAGGTTTTTAAGAAGAGACTGAACAGCCATTGGTCCGGAATGATACAAGGTCTCCTGCTTGAACAGGGGCTGGAGTAGAAGACCTCCAAGGTCCCTCCAACTCTGTATTCTGTTAAAGGAGTGCTGTTAAGACAGCTCATTTGTGATATGGGATGAATCATTGCCGCTATGTGCTGCTTTAAAAGATTTGGCTTTTCTTTTCCAGGGATGATCCGAACAGGAATCATCAGCCCTGAGGGTCCCTGCATTTGAAGGCCCTGGACAGCTGCGGAGATCCTTCCCTTGCGAGACGTAACTGGCTGACTGCCACCATGTGGAAACAACCGGTTCTCGTGGAATCACTGGTGGTGTTTGCCGTCGTGCTTTGTGTGCACAGCGTGGTCTGGGACCGCTTCTCGTGGTCCGCTCTCATCCTCGCCGTCCAAGCCTTTTACATCCAGTTTAAGTGGGACCATCTCCTTCGACTGGGTGGGGCTGTATTCCAGTTCCGGACCACGGCCAACAGCGGCCTCCTCCCTTCCTGCATGGTTATCCCCCTGCTGGGCATCGTGATGAAGGAAAGGTGTCGAGTGGCTGGCATTGTGTACTTCGAACGCCTGGGCATTATCGTGGCCTCCACCGGCATGATGATCGCCCTCTTCTTGTCGCTGATCGCCTTGGGCATTACCAAGCCCGTGCCAACCAATACCTGTGTGCTCTCCGGGGTTGCCGGGACGCTGATCATCTACACCATGAAGCATTCCTTGACCGTCTCCGAAGTGATCGAAGTGCTGGAGGTGCTGCTCATTTTTGTCTACCTCAGCATGGTCCTGCTGTACCTGTTGCCTCGGTGCTTCACCCCCGGGGAGGCCCTGCTAATCCTCGCCGGCCTCAGCTTCGTCCTCAACCAGCTCATCAAGCGCTCTCTGAACATCAGCGAGAACCGAGGGAGTCCCGTGGACTTCTTCCTCCTGGTGGTGATGGTGGGAGTGGTCCTGCTGGGCCTCTCCTTCGCGCTGCTGTTTTTCTTCATGGATTCCACCACCTGGACTTCCTCCATGTTTTTCCACATGATGACAGCCGTCCTGAGCCTCGGCGTGGTCATGCCGTGGCTCTACCGTCTGATCCGCAGGAATCCCTTGACGTGGCTCTTCCAGCTGCTCTCCCAAACCCAGATCAGAATCCACCTACTCTCCTACTGGACCCTCCTGGCTGCTCTGGCGTGTGCGATAGTCCTCTATCAAAACATCAAGCGGTCCTCCGGTTCTAAAAAACACCAAGCTTCAACCGTTACCCGGAAGTACTTCCATTTCATCGTGGTGGCCACTTATGTCCCAGGGCTGATCTACGACCGCCAGCTGCTGTACGTAGCGTCCGTGATCTGCCTGGCCGTCTTCATCCTGCTGGAATACATCCGGTACTTCACCATCAAGCCCTTCGGACAGACGCTCAGGCAGCTGCTCTCGCTGTTCTTGGACGAGCGGGACAGCGGCCCTTTGATCTTGACTCACATCTACCTCCTGCTTGGGATGTCCTTCCCGGTGTGGCTGGCGCCGAGGCCGTGTGCCCCCAAGGGTGCCTTGACCGGGGCAGGAGCCTTGGCGCCCTACTCTGGGGTCCTGGCTGTGGGCGTGGGGGACTCAGTGGCCTCTATCTTTGGGAGCACGATGGGGGAAGTCAAGTGGCCGGGAACCAAGAAAACGTTTGAAGGAACCATGTTGGCTATATTTGCCCAAATTATTGCGGTTGCCCTGATTGTGATTTTTGACAGTTCTGTGGACCTGAACGCCAGCTACTCCTGGATCTTGTTCTCAATTAGCCTGGTGTCGTTTTTAGAAGCCTACACCACCCAGGTGGACAATTTACTACTGCCCCTCTACCTCCACATCCTGCTAATGCTTTAGGAGCCCTTGAAGGGCGTAAAGTTTCTCCTCTGGAGCGTAAGCAGATACACCCATACAGTGTTTCTTTGGTGTCTTTGGCTCAGGGTGGCAAAAAGCGACACCACGGCTCATCCCTGTAAGTGATTATTGCACGTTCACTATTTAAAGCTGAAATATAATGAGGCTGTTCTTTGTGGTCTATTTTTTTTGACGGCTTCTGCAGCATAATACGCTACAAGGGTTTTCTAACTGGCTGGCAATCCTCCAAGGAGTTGCTTTGTTCTTTTTTTTTTTTTTTAAAGCAAGTTATAGGATGGGTTTGCTCAAGCAATCAAAGGGTTGGACTGGAAGCCAGCAGACCCTGAGTTCTAATCCTGCTTTAGGCATGGAACCCAGCACAGTCGCATCTATCCCAAGGATCTTGTAGACGACGGCAGATCCTGAACATCATGAAGAGGCAAGGTTTGGGGGAATCTTTCCTCCAGCTAGCTGAAACTGCAAACTTAGATCATCTTCTCCTAACCCCAACTGGAAATTGCAGGAAAATCAAAGATACTTCTAAAAGGGTGAGATATAAATCTATTCCACACTGCTGAACTCTCAGATACTCTAACGAAAGTGTCATCCACAGCACTTAAATAGTCGGAATTCCAGTCCTCATTTTATTGCATTTCTAACTCGCCTCTCCTGTCAGAAGCCAGGAGCAGGCTCCCTGCAGGTCTCCTTCTCCTTCACGACGTCCCTGTGACGGATGATTGCTGAGCAAGAACTACAGTCCGACTTTCCTTGGTCACGAACTGATGCTTTAATTCCACGCCAAACTGATTTTTTAAGCTCATGCTCTCCTGAGCAGACTCAGCGGATTCAGAGATGAAATTCCCCAGTTACAGATGCAGAGCCGAAGATCAGCCCCCTCCCGTTCCCCGAGAGGGGTGGGGGTCCCGAAGGAGAGATTCTGCGGGTTTAGTTGCACGTGTAGAGCGATGGGAAAGGCAGCTCCAGAGTTGGTTGAAGCCTGAAACGGGTGAGAAAAACCATTAAATGGATCAGCCCAAAAAATGTGAATTAACCCCAATCGAAGCAAAAGTTTCCATTGCTAAGCGAGACGGTTGTTCAGCGGGTTTTGCCCCATTTTACCATCCTTTTTGCCACAGTTGTTAAGATAATAACACAGATGTTAAACGGCTCCCCCATTGACTTTGTTTGACAGAAGGTCATAAAAGAGGATCATGTAACCCTGGACTGCTGTAACCGTCATAAATATGAGTCAGTTGTCAAGCGCCCAAATTTTGATCACGTGACCTTGGGGAGACTGCAATGTGTGAAAAATAGGCATAACTCTCTCTCTTCAATGCTGTTGTAAGTCCGAATGATCACTAAATGGTTGTAAGTCGAGGGCTACCTGTATATTGAGAATGTACTATATGCACCTTTCCTAGAGTGAGTTCTTCCAGCTGTGTTGGGAACTAGAAAAGTCTAGCCATTCCAGCTGTGCTGCCTGGAATTCTGACCTGGAATTCCAAAACAGCTGGGGGCTGGCTGGGTCCAGCTGCATCTGCCAGATCCACTCATTGCACAAACTCTCAATAAACTACAGATTTTTTTTAATTTGTTTACTTATTAAATTTATTTGCCGCAAGGCGACTCTGGCCGCCTTACAATCATGATTTTGAGATGACTTGAGTTTGCATCCCACCCGGACCCATAAACCACAATGTCCACGTTTGGAAGGTACGACACACTTGCTTGTTCTGATAATTTGGACTTCCTGGAGGGACAACCACATCAGGTTTGGTTTGCTTATAGGAGGGGAGCGTTTTTCAACCCCCGGACGGTTCCCATCTCAAGCACCTTCCATGCAAAGCGTGGCTGGCTTCTGAGCTCCCGTGCTAGAGAGCCAGCCGGGGCACGGGAAAGCCCTGGCAGAGAGACCCTGCCTGGAACGAGGCCCTCCCCTCTGTCTCCCTCCGCTTACCAGTTCTCGGCGCTCCAAACAGCATCCTTGTCCTCCATCAGGTGGAAGGTGTAAGCCTCGCGGGACTCTTCGGAATAGTTCGCTTCACTCTTGTGCACCACCTCGCCGTGGATGAGGACTAGGTCCCCTGGTCCCCCGTTCAAAAGAGTGAGACGTACCATCTGAGAGTTTGACAGGTAGTCCCTGATTTAACGACCGATTAACGGCCATTCAAGGTTGCCACCCACACCCATTTTCGAAGTTATGATTGCCACACCTGTCCCCTGCAGGGACGCAATTGCATTTTGGGTGCTTGCCTTTGTGACCGTTTGCAGCATCCCACCGTCGTGTGGCCACAATTGTGACTTTTTCCCCCCGGATTCTAGCATTTACTTTCAGTTTCCAGCAAAAAAAAGTCCATGGGGACAATGGGTTCATTTAGTGACTGCAGTGTTCACTTAAGAACCACCATGCTTGTTTAACAAATACTACAAAAAATGTCAAAACATTGGGTCGGATCGTGGCGCCCGTCTCTGGGCTTCTTACAAGCTGTAAAACAAGTAAAAAATAGTTCAAAGACACTGATTAAAAGATGATGACCATGACTCATGACTTATCATTCCAACTTCAACTACTGTCGCACCAGGAGCCAGATCACATGACCGTGGTCATAAACGTGAGGACCAAGTTGTAAGGCACTTTTTTCAGCACTGTTCTTACTTCCAAGGTGGTAGCAATTTAGTCATTGGAAACGCTTCTCAACAACAACAACTTTATTGTCACTTTGAAAGTACACCAATCGGCACACATCAAAATGAAATTTCGTTGCATACAGCTCAAAGGGTCACCACCTCCGATATACACTCCTTGTTTGTGGCCAGCAGGGGGCAGCACATGGCCAATTTTGGTTGAGTTAAAAAATATGGATGGGGGCCTAGTTGCCCCTTTGTGGGAGGTTAGCCAGAAATTGTGGCTAATTCTCCTTTTGGGGAGAAGCCAGGATGTGTCCTTGACGTCACTCATCAAGCTCAACTCCATAATTTTGCTTCTGTAGAATATTTCCAAGTCATTTGCAAAGGACTTTCCAAACAAAAACGAAACAAAGATGATGCGTCGTCCTCAACTTATGACCACAAGTGAGCCCAAATTTTATGTTGCTAAGCGAGGCAGTTAAGGGATTTTTGCCCCACTTTACGACCGTTCTTGCCCTGGTGGTTAAGTATTCACTGCAGTTAAGTTAGTGACTTTGCTTGCCTGAAGGTCACAAAAGGGGATCACTTGACCCCAAGACATCGCGACCGTCATAAGTGTGAGCCAATTGCCAAGCCTCTGGATTTTGATCCTGTGACCTTGGGGGCGGTGCAACGGTCATAATGTGAAAAAAAAAGTCACAAGTCCCTTTTTTTAGTGCCGTTGCAACGTCAAAAGTTTTTAATTTGAGGACCACCTGTAATGGTTTGGTTTCTTCCGTTCGATGGAGGAAAAGGCCCCGATTTAAAACTGGCCTAAATCCTGGGGTCTCCAAACTTGGTGACTTTAAGACCTGTGGACTTCAATTCCCAGAATTCCCCAAGTCTTAAAGTCGCCAAGTTGGGGGGGGGCTGATCTAAATGATGGAATTTTAAGTACCCTTCCTATCCTATCCATGTGCCCCAGTCCTGGCTCCCAAATTACGTTTCCCCTTCCAGGAGAGGAGAGCCAATTTCCCTCCCCGGCTTGTGGCTCGGCCCACTTAGATATTTCAGGGGTGCCATCCTACCTTTGCCCGCTGGCACAGGGACAAACTGGCAGTCGTCATACGTTCTCTCCGTGCCAATGAAATCGGTGCAAGGAATCGTCCCAGGGCGAGTTCGGACCATCTGCCGCGTGATGCCAGCTGGAAACCAGATCAGGAGGAGGTTGAGCTTTAGGGGCTCCCTTGGATGTTATTAATTTTATTTCTTGAACGGATAGGCCACCCGACTCGCAGCAGTTCTTGGCCGTTTACCCCAACAGTCTCCCTCCCCTTGTCCTGAAGTGAGAACCAAAGAAGAAGCCAGAATGCGCCCAGGCCTTCTTCACCTCTTACTTGTGTGAGAGCCGGGGATGAACCACAAACAGCCGTTTTCTTGGGTGGCGTTTTCCAGAGCGACCCAGAGGCCCATCACTTTGCCCAAAGGGCTTGTGTGCAAGAAAGTCGCATCCTGGTGTGGGGTCACTGAGAGGAGCAGAGAAGATACGTGAAGCCGCCTAGTTGGCTTGTTTGCACCCCTGGCAGATCGTGGTTTGCAAAGTCCAGTAAGCTGGCTTCAGAGAAGCCTAAATCACAAACATTTCTATTTTTCCTACACAGTCCAGACATAAGGGCAATTTTGGGGTCCTTGAGCCACCCTGTTTCAGGGTGACAAACATCCTGATTTTTATGGAAGTGCCACCTTGAGAGATTTAAATGACTTTTAATTGCCGGACATTTTATCCAAGGCTAAGCCACCCTGCAGGGGACAATGGGAGTTGCAGTCCGACATCAACGGTTAGAGGAAAGGTCATACAGTAAGAAACTCACCTTCCCCACCAATGCCTGGTTGCTGTAAAATAGGAGGGGGGGGGAAGACTATTAAACCAGAAGAGAAAAAAAATGATATATTTTTTTTAATTCACCCATTGTAGTAATAATGGGTTTCTGGTTTGGGGAAGGAGTTAGACTACATGGTCTCTGGGATCCCTTCCAAGCCTGTTCTGGGATTCTAAGTTGTGGGTTCCTGCAGCAGGCAGGGGTTGGACTAGATGGTCTCTGAGGAGCCTTCCACCCATAACCTTCTATGAATTCCCCAACTATATATATTTAAAAATGCTGCTTACCTTGAAGATGTACATGCTTTGCACCACCACGGGATTTTCCAGGCCCAAATTTCTTGCCAAAGCCTGCAGAATATCCCAAAATTAAAAAAGAATATCTTAATTTTCTGCTCTTTTCCCTTGCAGCCTGAGAACACACTTCCTCCAACGTTTTACCAATGAAAGCAGAGTTAAAAGCACTTTCCTCCTCTCACTGAGAGGTTGGTTCCCAACATTGTAGTTTGTTAACTAAATCATCATGGCAGTAAAAACATCACCTTGTAAAAACCCCAATAGCTGGATTTACCCTTCGCTCTTAGCTCAGTGTGGCTGGTTGGGATTGATTTTGCTTGTGGCATGCAAACTAAAACTTCTAAATCATGATTTATGTCCTATGTTTTGTTCCGTTTCATTGCCAACTGGAATACAAACATTTTTTTACTAAAACCAACCCCAGCATGCAGCTCCCTATGGGATCTATGCAGGTCTCTTGGCCTACTCTGCAGGGCTGTTGTGAAGGATTGAATGAGGAAAGGCAGAGCTAATGCCAGTCAATTTTCTATGACAGCCCTGCAGGGTTGGCCAGCACTCAACTCACCTGCACCTTGGCTGCGTGGGTCATTTGCTTGAAGACCGGATCGTAGGCATGCAGTGCTAGAAATAATCATATTATTAGGTGAGGTTTGCCCCATTTTACGACCTTTCTTGCCACGGTTGTTAAGTGAATCACTTCAGTTGTTAAGTTACTAACACGGCCGTTAAGTGAATCTGGCTTCCCCATTGGCTTTGTTTCCCAAAAGGGACACTGCGGCCGTCTTAAATGTGAGCCAGTGTCTGAATTTTGATCACGTAACCCTGGAGATGCTGCAACCGTCTTAAGAGTGAAAAACGGTCAAAAGTCATTTTTTTCAGTGCCGTTGTAACTTAGAATGGTCACTAAACAAACCGTTGTAAGTCAAGGACTACACTCTACACTTTTCACCCAGTCCCTCCCTTTTTTTCCAACTTGCATTAATTATTTCTTAGGGAAACGGATTCCCAGGCAGCCCTTTACTTACCGTGACCAATTTTGTTGACCGATTTCTCCTTTGCAACGAGAAAGTCCCCTGCAAGTGAAAAAGGCTGGGTTGAAGACAAGATTGGAATAAAACGGGAGCGTCAAGATGCTTTGGGGAAAACCGTACCTTTTTCATCAAAAACACCTTTTTCGAAAAAGAATCTGATTTTGTCTCCGCTGTTGAGGAAATATTCGGCAGACCCCTGTCAGAAAGCAGATTAAAATATCAATATTGGCTGTAAAGTAGGTCACCCCTATCACTTGCCTGATTTTATCACTTCTCTGCATTCAGCCACAAAGTCCTTGAAGCAAGAACTGAAAAGCACCTCCTGACGTTGCCCACCTGTGCCTGCAGCTGTTCCGACTCCTGGGTTGAAAACTCCGTGCGGCAGTGGGCCGGCACATCCATAGATGCCACTATCTTTCGGATCTGGGCCCTCATGGCGTCGCATTCCTCCAGGCTGAAGAACCGTTCGAGGACCCAGAAGCCCTCCTGGTGGAACTACAGAACAAGTTGAAGACGATATGTAGACCGCCGTTCCTCAACTTTGGTTAATTGAAGGTCTGTCGATCTCAGTTCCCAGAATTCCCCAGCCTGCACAGCATTAGACACCTGGGAATATCTTCAGACAGCTGGACAGTATGGAAGATCAACCCTGTCCCAAGCTGACATTCCCAAGTGGTTTAGGTTGACCGTTGAGTTTGATCCTACTGGGAAAGCCTCTCCTTGTTCTCTGATGCTGATGAGTCATGAACTTGGTCAAAGAAGATAGAATAAGAGGCTCCGAAGAGACAGACGGGGCAAATCTCACTTAACAAACATCCCATTTGAGGTCGTAAGTTGGGGGCTTCCTGTATTTATCATAGAGTTTATTTGCACAAAAAAAAATCTTGCTAGGAAGCTAATGACACCTTGTTTTTATTTAAAGAGCTGGTGGGTTGCCCTTTATAGAAACTAATCAGATTATCTCCACCAGATTTGGGACTTAAGGAGAAAGGGAGAAGCTGCAGAGATCACCGCACGTCGTATTTAGAAAACCAGTAGAAATGGTTTGTAATCTTAGCAAAGAATTGGAAAAAAAAAAATCCTGCGATCAGTAGGGTTTCCTTGTATATATTTGAATCAACTTTTAAAACTTGAGTTGTGTATTAAAACAACATTTTAGTGCTTATTATATTCATTAAGACATTTTAAAGATATAGTGCATGATGAAATTAGACAACCACCTTCAGATATTTAAAAGTATTTAGTGTTTTAACTGATTTCTTCTTCTTCTTCTTATGGTTTTACTATCGGCATCCATTTTTATTGACTATCAATTTCTAGAAACTCTTTTCTGCCTTTTTATTTAAGGTCTACAATTTTAGCAAAATCATTTCCAACAAAAAGTTGCTGGCCCCCCCAGGGCTGCAAAATCAAATTTTTATTAATTTTTCTTCAGAGAACTGGAAATGACTCAGAGTCTCTGCTGCGTGTGAGCTGGACAGCCACATCGATCTATTTCATTAATAAAGAAATAAAATTGTTGCTGACTTTTGTTTCTCTGCTCCCTTCTCCTCTTACCTTAGAGAGGGGCTCTTGGCTGATGGCTGCCATCGACGCTAAACACACGTCACTTATCAAAGGAAACGGTGCTGCCCGTGTCCAGTTCGCTCCATGTCCAGGGATCAATTTTCCCCTGCGAAGTTGGGCGGGTCAGTTCATCATCATGTGATCAGCTGCAAAGGACAAAGGCAGGCATGACCCCAGCTGACTCCGGAGGCCCCTGCAGTGGACTTTGGCATCGGACATTTGTTCCATCACCAAGAAGCCCAGCAGATCGAGTTTGATTCCTTTTGGACACCTGAAGGAGGAGGTGGAGATTTTGGCATAAAGCAGAAAAGATTCAGGGAAGGGAAGGGAAACAGGAAGGAAGGAAGGAAGGAAGGAAGGAAGGAAGGAAGGGATAAAGAGAGAAGATATGTTTATGCATCTTCTCCTGTATTTTAGCAGGGGAGGGTTGTTCAATTAGTAACACGGTTGTTAAGTGAATCCGGCTTCCGCATTGACTTTGCTTGTCAGAAGGTCGCAAACAGGGACCACGTGACCCCAGGACACTGCAGCCGTCATAAATACGAGCCAGTTGCCAAGAGCCTGAATTTGGATCACGTGACCACGGGAGATGCTGCAACGGTCGTTAAGCGTGAATAACGATCGTTAAGTCACATTTTTCAGGGTCGTTTTAACTGGTCACTAAATAAACGGTTTTAAAACGAGGACTACCTGTGTCATAGTAAAGGTGTCTTGGGAATTGCACCCTGGTTTTAAATCTCCTAAACGGCCTGCAGATTTTAACGGTGTTCATTTCCTTGTTCACCAGTTGCAAAACACCGTTTGCAGATTGCAGAAACCTTGGAAAATTCCCCAGAGTGAGTTACGGTGCCGGGTTACAGAATTAATTCCACTCCAGGGTCTACGCAATGCGCCCACCCGGGAACCAAAGCAGGATTTTCTTGTCCCACCTGGACACAACATGCTTGCTGCAGCGTAGCCTAGGGCTAAGTTTCCCAAGCCTGAAAGGTTTAAGATGCATGTACTTCAACTCCCAGAATTCCCCAGCCAGCCATGTATAATTTGATTTTATTTATTTCTTGTATTCGTTTATGGCCCTTTTATTATTTGTATAAATAACTCAAGGCAGATAACCTGCCTAATATTCCTCCTGCCTCCTCCCATTTCCCCCACAACGGTCCTGTGAGGTGGGCAGGGCTGAGAGAGAGGGACTGGCCCAAAGTCACCCAGCCAGCTTTCAAGCCTAAGGCTGGACTAGAACTCACCATCACCTGGTGATTGGCCCAGTCACCCGATTGGCTTTCATGCCTACGGCGATACTAGAACTCAAGAGTCTCCCGGTTTCTGGCTTGGTGCCTTAACCACCAAACTGGCTCTGATCCCCCTAAGATTTTTTTTCAAAAAGAGGAGGGGGCAGAGCTCAATTTTGATCTTCCCTTTGGTTCTCCTTGAGATTTCCTTGGGACTGCCTGAAAACCACATTTAAGCTCCCCCCTCCCTCCATTTACATTCAGGGAATTATACAGCAAGCTCTGGGGCAACCGTTCAGATTTTCCCGTTTCTTGGACAACAATTTAGGCCAACAAACCCACCCTCCCAGTAAGCTTGCGAGCCCAGGAAAGCCATTACGTGGCCGGAGATGATGGGAGCCGGAGTGCAGCATCACCCAAGGCCTTCCTCGGCCATCCATGGGCGCTTCCTAGGCAGCTGCCGGTTGTCTGATTGCCAGTATTCCCCGCAGAGCCCGGAGCGCCAGATCTTGAAAAGAGACAAAGGCGAGATCATGTTGACCTCGTCTGTTTCTCCGAAGCGCAATTACCTTAAGAGCATCTCCGCAGAAAGCCGATATTGGTCAGCCGGTCACCCGGCTGAGGCTCTTCCAGTCAGCTGGCGGTGGAAAGGAGAAGGTGAAAGAGAAGAGGGCAGAACCAGCATGGAGATGGGAGAAGCTGGGACTCGTTTCTCCACATTCCAGAGAGATGGAGAAAGGGCCTGGAGCGTGGGAAAGTCGCTCCGCCAGTTTTTCTCTCTCGAGTTAACAACTTTTCTGTTACTATTTTTTTTTTCAATTCACTCCTCCTTAGTCTCCCCAAGGAAGTCCAAACTAAGAAACCAGAGTCATGCATGCAAATGCTGCTTTTATTATAAGGCTACAGTGGCAGAAGCTTGCAAGTCTGAATGTGCTTCCCCCCTCCCACCCCTGTCTGCCGTTAGATACTGGGGGGAGTCTTGTTTTGAGACGCTTTCTCGAGTTACAGTTTTGGCCCAGACTCAGATTTCTTTTCTCTGACAACTGTCTTGGTTGTGGCTTCTTAACCAGAGTTAAGAACATCAGACAAATCTGTGCGGTTCCCACCCTGTTTTTCTACGATCGTGGTTTAAAGCAGACCAGAGACCCGTCGTTTCTTGAGGATTTCCAAGTAGCTTTATTTTAAACACGAACAATGCCGACGCCTGGTTAACAACGCTCTGGATGTTGGTAGCGTTGCCAGCCTGCAGAAATCCTTCCTGATACGGCGGACGGAGGCAGCAGGGAAGCTTGTCCCGTTGACTGCTGGAAAAGGGGAGAAGGGGGGAAAAAAAGGGGGGGTCCCCCACCTCTTCGAGATCAGCCAAGACCAACCTTCCAGCGGCAGGGGTGCCCGAAGAGATGGCAACCAGCTTTGGCTGCTCTACCCTCCTTCACAGATCAGAGCCTGTGCAATTCATTTCCGACTGAAGGGAGCAACTCTCATCCAGATACGATATTTTAGTTTTAATGCATGTATATATAGTGTATATATTTTTTGGGAACGGCAGACTCAGTAAGTCCCAGTCCTTCTGAATAGGGGACACTGTGACTCCATCCTGGCTGAGAACTTTGGGAACTTAATTCCTTGCTCACCTGGCAGGTGGAAATGCAAACAGGGTGGAAAGTTTAGGCCACTTGTGGAGGGTCAAAAAACCCCCCTTTTCACTAGTGCAAATTCGACTCCTTTCTTCCTTGCAAAGAAATGCGTCCGGCCCCTCCCCTGGCAAAACCCCCTAACCCCCTGCCCTGTCTTTTCGGCCACGCCTTTTCAAAACTTGGGAGGGAATCAACCCGTTTGGTGCTGCATCAAACCGGACAATGGGGGCAAAATCATGTCTCTTTGGACAACCGAGGCTTCAAAAACGAAAAGAGCGGAAAAACAGACCAGCTGTTATTTTAAAAGAAAAACCATAAAGGGAATACTGATGGAGTCTTAGTCTCCTGGAAAGATGCTGGTAGCAGATAAAAAAAAAAGAAAAGAAAAGACTACCGGGTACATTAAGGGTTTTTTTTAGTGTTTTTTTTATCGTCGGTGCCCCTGTTCCCCTCGAACGGGCATTTCCCAACTGCAGCCATGTATAAGTCCTATAAGGAATGTCCAATGTCAGTTTAAAAATTAACAACTTCCCCTGCCTGCCTAACGTTGAATGTTTTTTTGCAACTGCTAAGACTTTTTTAATGGAAAAATACAGGCTGGCATCCTTCACGTGGAAATTCTTTGATCTCACACACACACGAGTGATTTCTGCCATCACGATTTGGGGAATCTCAAGTTTGGGGAGAAACTCCAGGAGACAAAGGGGGTTTAGGTCAGACTTTTGCAAATAGGGTTCTAAAGTAAAGTACAATTTTTTTTTAAAAAAAATAAATGCCACCGTTGGGTGAAAAAAAAAAAAAAGGCTGAATCTTCTCCGATCCACTTCTCGGAGAGGATCTGAGCCTCATCGCTGGGAGTAGGACTGGACTTGGCGCAATGCGTAGCTGGAGAGGTGGGCGCCATTCTCCCCTTCGGATGGGGCGAAGCGCTCAAGGACGGGACCACCCAACACAGCCGCAGGGCCAGGCTCTCTGCCCCAACACACAGCGGTGGCCGAGCGTGCCAGCCTCAGGGGACCAGTTCCCACTTCCTGCCCCTCCGAGAGCGACGGGCCGAGTCGCAATCCCTTCCCCAGAGTTGTCCTGCTTCTCCTCTCCTTCCTGAAGCAGAGAAACAGTCTCATTCCCAGCCACTCCTGATCCTTCTTGGCTGTCAGTCAGGGAGCCCTGGCCCTCGGGCGAAGGTCTCCAGAGCAGGGAGCCAGGGGCAGCGGGGTCAGGGGCAGGAAGAGGGCCAGGCTGCAGCATCCCAGCTCAGCGGCGTCTGCTGCTTCCTCCTCCTCCTCCTCCTCCTTGGGCAACGGTTCAAGCCTGCTCTTTGTCCGCCCGCCACAGCCGCTCCTTGACCTCCAAGGGCAGGGTGTTGAAGAGGTCTTCCTCCACCACCAGCCCGCTGCGCTTCAGCAAGGGGCAGTCGCCCAGCTCCACCGGCAGGCACTCCAGGCGGTTGCCGCGCAGTTCGATCTGAGACAGGTTGGTCAGCTCGCCCACCCGGGAAGGCAATGACTGCAACACGTTGTTGCCCAGGTGCAAAGTCCTTGTTTTCCGGCACTGGAACAGCTCGGCGGGGAGAGCCTCGATCTGGAGGGAGAGAAGAGGGAAGGCGAGAGAGAGAGATGGTCAGGCCCAGCTTGGAGAAGAGGCGAAGCCAGAAATAAATCCCCGTTTGCAGAGAGGGAGGATGAAGCTGGAGGGGGGCAAACTTTACAGGACAGCAGAATAAGAAGATAACAAGAGTGGGAAGGGACCTTGGAGGTCTTCTAGTCCAACCCGCCTGCTCAAGCAGGAGAGCCTCTACCGTTCCAGACAACTGGCTGTCCAGTCTGTATGAGCCTTGGTGTCGCAGCATTGCCGGCTGACTCTGCCCACTGCCAGCAGTTCGATCCCGACCGGTTCAAAGTTGACTTAACAACTGCAGTCTATAGCAAGAAAGGTTGTAAAAATTTTGGGCTCAACTGTGGTCTACCTGTGCTTGCAACAGTTAAAAATACACAGAATGCAAAATTTGTTGGATTTAAGAATCCTTCTGCCCGCACTCGAAGATTTTTTTACTTGCCGTTAAGAAATCTGAGTATTGAAAACAACCGTCTTCTTTACAAGAAAATGAGCTTTTAAAAACCGATATTTCTGCCTCCTCTTGGGAGAGAGGCTCCATCCCCTGGTAAAATTGGCCTCGGGGGCTGGAAGGTAGGGAAAATAAATTGTTTCCAAGCAAACAAACCAGCAGAGAAAACAGGAAGAGCCTCTAGGGAGGCGAAAGGGCCCCTAATTAATCTATTGCTGCTTTGTTGTCATAGAGCTAATGAGATCAACACATCGTCTGTGGGAGCCAGAACAGCCACCTTCACGGAGGATGATCTGATGCTAACCTCCAGCTTGGCTTTTCCCAAGCAGCATTTTGCTAAATTCTTCAAACGGAAGAAAAACAACAACGGAAAGGGCCAGAATTAAGTGAAGCGGATTTGATAACCCCTCGGTCCAGCAAGGAAAGAATGTTTGCGATGAAAACTCAGATTTTGCAAACTTTTCAAAACAGCAGGAGACGGGTGAAGCAGACAGCCAGGAAGGGAAGTGGGTGGGTGACTGTATTTGAAGGAGAAGCAAAGAAAAACATCCACGAAGCATTTTAATATCCGGAGTTCATAAATCAGGGTAACTGGTTTAGGGCAGGGAGTGGAAAATATAGCAAGCTGACTTCAAGGTTTCAGTTTCAAAGGTTTCCTTTTTTAAAAAAATAATGTTTTTCTTTTGCTCCAAATGTTTGGGCTTGAAAACATTCAGGGGAAGCACTCGGGATAAACATAATAATAAAAGAAGCAACAAAGTTGTTGGGTTGATTTAGTGATTAAGGCAACAGACCAGAAAGCGGGAGACCCTGAATTCTAGTCCCGCCTTAAGCACAGAAGCCGGCTGGGTGACTTTGGACCGGTCCCGCTCTCTCAGCCCAGCCCAGCCCACCTCACAAGGTCGTTGTTGTGAGGAAAATGGGAGGAGGAAGGCCTGTTGGAAATGTTCCCTATCTTGAGTTATTTGTGAAAATAATAAAACTAGGATACAAATAAATAAAAATACTCTTTAGGGACTTAATCTCCTATTTGTCCTACATAGTGGCTTTTTCAGACAGCAGCACCCCCCTCCCTCCTAATTCTGATGACGTTAGCTAGCTTGGTCATGAAACGTCTGCAAGAAAACCACCAAGCTCAGAGAGCAGCGAGGACCCCCACAGATTGTACCTAACACGCCAGTGTCCCAACACGTGGTTTTAAAAGGACTTTCCCAAGCAGGGTTCCCCAACCCGGTGCATACACACATACACACACACACAGTTGCTGCAGGACTGCCAGTTCCAACACAGCCTGAGACTGCCAAATTAGAGAAACCAATTGGCAGGGGAAAGAACTGGAACTTTAAATTTAGTCTTCTTTTCAAAAGGAAAAAGGAAGCCCTCTCCGTTAACAAAAGACCATCTCCCCTCAGCCTCATGAGAACTGGAGCCCTGCCCAGAACTGGGGAAACTAAAAAAAAAAAAAAGGGGGGGGGAGAAAGAAATGAGACCGTTTGCTCAGTTGCAAGAGAACGTCCCCCCACTTTTCTTCTCACAAAGAGCAAAAGAACAAAATTGACATTTTGGAAATTGCACTGGCATCATGGGCAATACTGCCCTGTCTTTTAAAACAGAATCAAGTTGGTTTTTTTAAGGGGTGGTTTTGTGGAGGGTTTTGTACGGAGGACGGAGCTGTCCTTGGCCCTTGATAAAGGCACAGACAGTCCTTGATATACGGCCGCCAGTGAGCCCCCAATTTCTGCTGCTAAGCAAGGCAGTTAAGTGAATTTTGCCCCGTTTTATGACCTTTCTTGCCTCAGTTGTTAACTGAGTCACTTCAGTTGTTAAGTTAGTAACAGGGTTGTTAAATGAATCTGGCTTCCATATTGACTTTGCTTGTTACTGCAACGTTAAAGCATGCTTGCAAAATACAGATTTTTAACAGGATAATAGAGTTGGAAGGGATCTCTGGAGGTCTTCTAGACCAACCCCTTGCAATAAAACCCTATGTCATTCCAGACAAAGGCTGTCTCCAGTGATGGATCACCATAATAAACAATAAATATAATCATTAAAAATTATCAACTGAATAATGATAATAACTTAATGATTAATAACTGTCATTGGTCACAGTTTTGTTAATGGTGGCCTGAAACGGGCACAGAGTCTCTACGAAACGAGAGTTATCTCATAATAGTTAAAAATACAAACACAAAAAAATCCTGGATCAAATTTAATCCGGCCCTGCTGCATAAAATAGCAAGCTTTCTTTTTTAATCTTTACAAGCCCTTTCATTCAAAAGGCTTCTAGCGAGGCTGTTCTCTGATAAATCCACTTTAATCATGCGAAAATCTTATTTATTTTTGCAGCAACAGGTCTGATAAAATGGCCAGTTCATGGCTGTGTGTAGCTTTGTCCCATTCTCTCTTTATTTTAAGCTCTGAACAAGTAAACAGAGCCCAAAAGGTACACAGAGCTGTGTTATTTCAGCTCGTATAATTGTCAAGCCCGAAACGAGAGCCCTGTATTACTTTGGGGATCTTCTATAAAGTTTTTTTATAGCTGTCTGTAAAAAGCCTCATTGCATCTCCTAATGTGTTAGTAAAAACACATTGTCTAAACACAGGGAGCTCAGAGACAAACTTAATAGTATAAATCTTAAGGGAAAGTGGTTGGGGGTTTTGGGGGTCAGAAGTATAGATAGCTGGGGGAAAAGCAAGTTTTTACCAATCAAGAAAACGCTGGATTTTTATGGGACCAGAAAAGGGCGAGATTTTCACAAAGTAAAAAGAACGTAAAATAAATATGTTATATTTTATATATTTCAAATAAAGCATGTTATTTCCTTTTCCAAAGATGCATTTCAGGAAGCAAGAGAGTTTAGGAACGGACAAAGAGGCCACACCGGTATGAAAAAGCAGATAATGGGGTTGTGACAACTTCTGGAGGGAAGCTCTTCCACCGATCAATTATTCTAACCACCAGGAAATCTCTCCTTAGTTCTAGGCTGGATCTCTCCTGGATTACTCTCCATGTGTTGCTTCTTGTCCTGCCTTCTGGTGCTTTGGAGGATAGGCTGACCCCCTCCTCTTCCTTGTGGCGGCCCCTCAGATGTTGGAAGGCTGCTATCAGGTCTCTCCTGGCCCTTCTTTTCTCTAGACTGGACCTACCCAATTCTTGTGACTGTTCTTTGTATATTTTAGCCTCCAGCCCCCTCTCTGTCTCTGTCTCTCTCGCTCTCCTCTGCCCTTTTTCCAGAGTCTCGGTGTCTTTCTTTATATTGCGGTGACCGAAACTGGATGCAGGATTATTCTAGGTTCTTAACTGCAAAACCCAAGTAGGATTTTATTGCAAAGCGCCCCACCCCCACCCCGTCTCCCCTTTCCTTACCCTGTTGGCTGTCACCGCCAGGTTCTGCAAATTCTGCAACGCTCCGATTTCCGCCGGTATGCAAGTCAACAGGTTGTGGCTGAGATCCAGGTAGCGAAGTTTCCGGCAGAAGAAGAGTTGGGTGGGGATCTTCTCAATCTTGTTCCGGTTCAGGTAAAGGCGCTCCAGGTTGGTGAGGTTGCCGATCTGCACGGGGATGTAGGCAATTTGGTTGTACCAGAGTTTAAGGCAAGTGAGGCGATGGAGGTGCTGGAAGCTGATGATCTCCTCGATGGTCTTGAGGTTGTTGTCCTTGAGGTCGATCTCCTGCAGGTTGTGGAGGCTGAAGATGGAGTGAGGGATGCGCTCCAGGTCGCAGCGGATGAGTTCCAGTTCCGTCAAGTTGACCATCTTCTTCAGGCTGTTGAGGACCATGAGCTTGGTGCCCTCGTTGTTGATGGACAGCTTCTGGAGATGGACCCCCACGTCCGTCACCACCTGGGGCAGCTTGGTCAGGTTACTCTTCAGCCTCAACACTTTGAGCCTCTTCAGCTCCCGTAGACCGTCGATCACGATGTACCGGTTGTTTTCGGCACTCAAGTTCCCCGTCAGGTGAAGCTCTTCCAGCGTCTTCAGGCTGTAAATCCACAACGGAATCTCCTTGATGTCCGTGAACTTGATGTGCAAGGATTTCAGGTTCTCCCTCAAGAAGGCCAGAGCCGGGGCCTCGATTTTGGCTGCCGTGTGGTACAGCCACAGTTCCTTGAGGCTGGTGAGCTGGGCGATGCTGGGCGGGATGGTGACGTCGGGAATGAGCTCCAGTTTTAAGACCTCCAGCTCCACCAGGTCAAAGACCGTGTCGGGGATGCCGCTGAGCATGAAAAGGTGCAGCTCCAGCTTCTCCTGGGAGTTCTTGGTGATCCTTTGGCGCAACTTCTCCAAGGTCCATTCGTTGTTCAGGTTCAACTGCCGGAGCTTGTTCTCGCTCACCTCCGACAGGAAGACGGCGAAGCGCTTGGAGTAGAGAGGGTCGTACTGGTCAATCAGGTGGAGCATGAAGGCAAAGTCGTTCTTGACGTCGGGAATGTCGCTGTAGCTGCTCTCCTCTCGGATGGACTCAAAGGAGTACTTCTTGAGGGATCTCCGGAGCATCCACCACAGGGTGTACATGCAGATCAGGCCGTAGAGGACCACCAGGCTGATGTAGAAGGACGCTAAGATCTTGAAGAGGGTCGCCAGGGGATGAGCGCAGCGATACATGCGGTAGCCGGTCAGACTCTCGATGTCCACTTTGCAGTCAATGTCGAAGGTTATGTTGTTGACGTAGTAGACCGTGTAGCAAATGATGAGGATGAACTTGATGACCTTGATGATGGTTTGCCTCATGTAGAGGCGGTAGACAATGTCTCCTTCTTCCACGTGGGTCCGGAACTTCTTGACCTTCTCAAAGAGAGCTTTGGCCTGCTCCCCTTCCTTCTTGTCCAGGACGCCGTTCTCCGTGCGGTCCACGATCCCTTGCTCAATCCGAGACTTGGTCCTCTGCAGCATTGGGGCGGTGGCTTCCACATCCTCACTGACGTTGGAAGACTTCTTCTCCATAGAGCCGTTCATCTTCCCAAAGGCCGGCTTCGGATCGCTTTCCTCCACCACCGTCTCGGACAGAGCCCGCGTGGTCCAGGGAGAGTCGAAGCATTTTAGGAGGATGGAGACAAAGTGCTCCAGCTTGGAGCTGGTCCTGGGGAACTTGAACCAGAAGTTGCTACAAGCCAGGAAGATGAGGGTGTGCAGCAGGACGAGGTAGGGGAAATATTTGGCAAACCAGTGAAGGCGGTTTTCGTAACACACGGCATCCACGTAGTTATATTGGTGACGGTCAAGCTCATATTTGATCCCGGTGGGCCCAGGCTCCACAGAGGGCCCCAGAGAAGCATTATAGTAACTGGCGTCCACGTTTGCCGCCGTCCATTCGCGGGAAGAATCGTTGCAAGCATCTTTGGTAACCCATTTGCAAGGCAAGCAGATCATTTTGTCCTGGGTGACCTGGAGGGTCCCACCAAACACCGCGATCATTAGCATCACGATGGAGATGTAGTCCGTAAAGACATCCCACCAGGGCTTCAGGATACGGTACGCCGGCTGGGTGTCGGCAAAGTAGCGCAATTCCGTGACGGGAATCATGGTTCACCTGAAAGAGAGAAAAAACTCTCAGCAGATGCGGCCAACGTAAGGAAGTGCTGTTTGGCCTTCAAAGCGTTCTGAACCCTGTCATTCATTATTTATTTAGCTTATGGCATAAAGTACAGGTAACCCCCCTCTTCTTGGTAGCAGCCCCTCAGATATTGAAACACTGCCATCGTGTCACCCCTAATCCTTCTTTTCTCTAGATCAGACATACCCAATTCCTGCAACTGTTCTTCAGATGTTTTAGCAAAGCAGAAACAAGGGCAGAGCCAACGACCAAACTCAAAGGCCCGGCCCCTTCCCATCCTGGAGAAGCTCTTGCCCACCAGGACTTGTTCCCGTGAGAGACCCCCACAAGTTTCTCCTGGTGGTTGAGGGCAGATACATCTGAAGGAGGACAGGAAGGCAGAAGGTGCCATCAAGGACTTAAGAGAGACTGTTTTGACTTTAAGAGCTGGGAGAACATTGCAATGACCTCCATGTTAGAACCAAAGATGCCCAGTTCTTTCTGACCCATCAGATGTTCTGAATCCCTCCATCTTGGACCTTTCTGCTTCCAACCAACCACAAGCTGGACTGAATCATCCATAGTTTTTTTTTCTTCTCCAAGAAGACTTTATAAGGAACTCAAGACTTTCTTGGAATCGAAACTGTAAGGCCAAGGCGGATGCTTTGTCTGCAGCTGGGCTGGTTTCCTGTTTAGCTTAATTGTGTTTAATTAAAGAATCCTGAAAAAAATATATACCGTAATTGAACGGAGGCAAGGCAGATTCCAAGGGACACTACAAATGGCTGTAAATGCGAGACAGTTGAACGAAAGAGGACGGACTTGCCTCTGGAAATTTAAGTTCCCTGCTGCATTTTAGATGCACAGGGGTGTTGTTGTTTTTTTGGTTGTTAAATGTAGAGCTGACGTTCAGGAATGAAAGAGCAAACTGTTAAAAGAGAAATTGTAGCAAAGATGACACGGCCCAGAGTTTGAAGGAAGGGTCAGAAAGAAACTCAGTGTCACTCTGCCTTGATTTTATTTAGTATAAGATGGGACAGACGGAAACCTAGACAAGATTCTATTGTTATATGCCACACCAATCAAGTAGCATTGCTGAAGTGTCTGCTGTGTCCATTATAGTCGTACGCTAAGGACTACCTGTCTAGGAGTCAGCCAGCTTTAATCTGCTCTTACTGATGCAGAACCACGAGATAACAAGACTTAGGAAGCATTCATTAGCTTAGGGTTTGACTTTCTTCCTGTGGGGATTATTCGTTTCATTTCTGGTTTTTTCCCCTCAGGGATGAAGAAGGGAAAAATGAAAGCAAACCCCTCTAGGATGGATCACAAACCCGCATTCAGCAAAAACGAGATCCGTGCAGCTTTTTTTTTTTTTTTTAGCAAAGGGACTGCAAGCTTTCCTACACCACCCACCCCTGTATAAAGCTTTACACATCCCCTGAAATAAATCACAGCTTTCAAAATTCAGAAGCCGTACTTCGGAATACAAGGGAAGCAAAGAAAAGTGCAAAAAAAAAAAGAGAGTGCAGTTTCAATCAGGTGACATGTTTGGCTAGGCCAGCCTTATTTATTTAAACTTGTGACTGCAGGAAACAACATGTTCCTTTTATGACCCAGTTTCATCTTTCGGAACAAACAACTTCAGGCAAGTGGGAAAGATCCTCAGGAGGAGGAGATCGTCAAGGTCAAAAGAGAGCCACGAAGAAGTCTCAGTTACATTGGTGTTACACTGAAAGGGGGCCGAAAAGCCTTTTCTACTCCCATTCGAAGTCTGGATAGTTTGAAGATTCGTTCCATGAATACAGGAAACCCTCTACCTTTCTTGCCATAGTTGTTTTAAGTGAGTCACTGCAGTCATTAAGATAGAAACATGGTTATTAAGTGAATCTGGCTTCCCCATTGACTTTGCTTGTCAGAAGGTCGCAAAAGGGAATCTACATGACGCCGCAACGGTCGTAAAGATGAACCAAGCGTCTGAATTTTGGTCACGTGACCCTGGGGGATGCTGCAACGGCCCTAAGTGTGAAAAACGGTCCTAAGTAACTTTTTTCAGTGCCCTTGTGACTTCGGTCGCTAAATGAATGGTAATAAGTCGAGGACTACAAGTAGCGCTTTACTGGCTAGCAGCAAGGCTGTATCAGTATATAAAAATGAGAGAAAAACAAGAAGACTAGACATAAGACAGAATTAAAAACCCTACTTGTACTCTACAAAATATTTGAGTTCTAACTAAACAACAGTTGTATTTGTAACCAAGTATATTTTCCCTGCTGCAAAATTTGAAGTACCTACGATTACAGAATGGGATGGGGAAGAAATTCTTTTATTCCGGCATCTCTGCAGAGGTCTATTCAGAAGCAAGAGTTTGCAAAGACACGTTGTGTAAAACCTTCTAAATTCTGGTTTGGTGGTTCATCTAATTTTCTTCCTTAATTTTGCTCAGTTTCCTGGCTGGAAAATCTTACCTCCTAAACACTGGGCAGATTTCAAGAGGATAAAAAATTGTGCCCAACACTTATCTGATTTATAAACAGTGGTGTGTGTGTGTGTGTGTCTTTGCTAACACAGTGGGTGGGCTGTTTTCCTCCCAAAATGAGAGCTTTGGAAATGCAGCTTTTTTGTTTTTTGTTCTGGCAAAAGAGAGATGGTTAGAAGTTCTCAGGCCCTTAAACTCCAGCCTGGCTATTTTATTCCTTTTATTATTATTTTTCCCCCACCCAAGTAAGGGTTTTGTAAACTTGTTTTTTTGGACAGAAAAAAAACCTCAACCTCCTGAACAAAGTTCTCTCAAGAACGAAGCAAAATCTTGACGACCTGGTTGGGAAAAGTAAGAAAGAAACCAGTTCCCAAGGTTTTCAGCCTCGTTCTGAAGGAGTCACAACTGCAGAGGAAGAAAAATTCAAGGATGTGTTGGAAAGCTCCACAAGGCAGCCTCCGGAGCACCACTTAAATCTAATTTTAGGGTGCTGTCTTCTGTGTATTTTCCAGAAAAGTGTGCCCTAGTGATATATGCCATATAAACAACTGTTTGTGTAGCCAAATATCACTATTTAGATCCATTAAAAGATTCTAATGCTGCATTCAAGTTTGTGTTGTGTTCTTCACGGAGCATCACTTTAGGGTCCACAGTATTCTCTGAGCTTGGTTGTTTACTTGCTGACATTTCATTGCCCAACTAGGTTACATCATCCATGCTAGAAGAGAGCAGGGTTTGCTTCGAGCACGGATGATGTTACCTAGTTGGGTCATGAAACGCCTGCAAGACCACCACCAAGCTCAGTTTCATTTGATTTGGGCTGATTTTTTTTGTTTGTGGTTTTAGGTTTTAATCTGTTTAGTATGGATTTTTGTTTTGTTTTGTTTGATACACCACAGGCTCCACGGGAGTTGGGCGACTGTTTAACAATAAATCAATACATAATAAAAACCACAGAAGACAGGTTCAAAATCTTACTATTCATGCTGCATTCCCTAGCAAAGGAATGCGCAGGTTTGCACCCGATGCTATAATCTGATCATACATAAGTAGACAGATTTGGGCACATTAAACACAGGAAACGTGTTTCAGCTAAATGCAAAGTGATGCAAACCAATGCAAAATGCAAACCAAAGGCCACATGCCCAGTTTCCTCCTTCCTGCACATCGACAGGAGAGGCAGCCTAAAGACTGGCACGGAAATGGGCAGTTGTGAACAAGGCACACCGATGCAATGACACAGCCACCCAACAAGCCAGCTGTGCTGCTGGCGCTCATGAATTAGGAAAGTGCCAAGTCATCGTGAGCCGTGCATCGTCCTTTCAAGGGCAGCCTTGTTACAGTTCAGCTGCGGAAGGAGAACTCAGGTGAGGTGCAGGACAGGCTGGGATAGCGAGGGAGGCCAGGAGGCTTTCCCAGCATTAAACCAGGATGTGTCCCAAGTCCAGCACCTTTTAAACGGGGCAACCCTGATCTTCAGCTCTGCAGATTGAGTGAGAAATGAGATCTCCACTCTGCAGTGCCAGTGTCTTCAACTGAAAAATATAGGCAGTCCTTGACATAGGATCAAAACTGAGCCCAAATTTCTGTTGCTAAGTGAGACATTTGTTAAATGAATTTTGCCCCATTTTATGACCTTTCTTGTCACCATCACCACCACCCCAAGTAGTTTGCTCACACCTTTAAAGTTGCGATAGAAATAGTCCACAATTTATGGCCAGAACTGAGCCTGGAATTATGGCCACGAGCCATTACGCTCATCAGTCGAGGGAGCCACGTGACCAGAAGTAATTTTCTGGACTTTTTCACAGCGGTCGTAAAGCGAACCCCACGGGTGTTAAGCAAGCCACTTCATTTCGAGTGGGAAAAATGCCAGAAACTGGTAAAAAAACCCATCACAAATGGTGGCTTACGTGTCCTCAAAAATGCCTTAGCCAGTTCTCAAGCTGGCCTGCCCAAGGTGAAGTCACAAGATCACGGGGGAATCATGTATGATTTTATTTGCTTCAAAGCACCCATTCTGTGGCTGTCGTAACTCTGAATGATCATAAAGGAAGCAGTCGTTAAGTGAGGACTATCTGTATTTTTTAAAATCAGAGTATTTCTCCACCTGTGCTGCGATTCCATCTTCCTTAATGGGCTGTTGCTGCACAGCCAAACGCGTGCAACACACACCCACACACACAGAGATGTGTGAGAAGAACGCAACCCACTTTGCCACTTGCGATTTTTTCCCCTCTGTGAGGTGTTAATAGTAGTCAGTCATTAAGGAGAGAAGCTGCGATTTCTTTGCCCAGAGCAAAAGCTACACGCAGCCTTTAATCTCCAAGAATCCGACACGGCTTTTCCCAAGCCGTGCGATCCCATTTCCAGCTTCTCAGGAATAATTTATGATCCCCTTACATAATTCCAGCCACAGGGGAGAAAAAATCTTGAGGGTTGTTCCTCTCCTAGTTCGAACGGTCGCTAAATGAAACATTGTTAAGTTGAAGACTAGCTGTACTAGAAGCAACCTCAAAACTGCGTCTGGTCAGCTGGCTGCTTGACCTGTGAGTGGAATGGCTCCCTCCCTCCCTCCCTGTTTTATGGCTTCAAAGAGAAGAAGGGTCGCCTTACCAAGCCGGTCATTCCCGGGATGCCCCCCCCACTGCCCCGTCCGAAAAAGCTGCCGGGCTTTCCTCTCCGCTCTGCTATCTGCACTTCAGCAATCTGGGCTGGAGTTCAAAGCTGCTGGTCGGGCAGGGACGCTGGGTGGGGAGGCAGCCTCCGAGCGCCATGGACCTCGCTGTGCTGGAAAGAGAAACCTTTTGTCAGGGGCCTGTTTTGGAAAGAAATGCTCAATCCTTCCTTTAGTCCAGGGGTCTTCAAACATGGCCCTTTGATGACTTGTGGACTTCAACTGGATTCGCTTAACAAGCCTGTTATTAAATAGCTGTGATTCACTTAGCAAAACTCACTTAACCATGCATGATCTTGCTTGACAACAGGTTTTTTTTTGCTCCCTTAGATGGTGGTAGCTAAATTTGATGAATCAAAATATATTCGCTCCTAAATAACCCGACCAAAACATCCTTTCCCCATTCAGTCCCTCTCTTCCCACACCTTAAAGAGCTGTCCTTCTCCAGCAGCCAGTCAAAGGAAGAGCTGGAAAATGTTTTTCCTTTTTCGAAAGTTCCCGGAATCTTCAATCTTGTCTATCTGCACCAGGAGCAGCCCTGTTGGGTTTTTTTTTCCCTCCATCCTTGTCTTAAAGGACATTTTGGCATGGTTCCTGGAATGACAACACTCAGCTATGTTCCTTTTCCTTCCCTCCCAACAACTCCAGGGGGAGCATTACCCCAGATGAACCAGCTGAAGGGATGCAGACACACGCACAGAGTGCCAGGCTAGAATGGTGCAAGGGTACCAGCACCAGAGCCACAAGGGCAGGGCGTCTCCTGCAGCCAAGCCTTTGGAGTAAAAACAATGACGGCTCAGGGTTGGCCACAAAATGCAAAGTTAGTCACCTAGTTATCTGTTTCCCACCCGCCCCTTTTTTGCCTTAAAACCTGCAAGCACGCCTACGTTTCTTTCGGCAGCCAGCCAGTCCTGCTTTCCTTCACACATTCCCTCCATCTTTTTCCTACCCCTCCCAGTTTCACCTTTCCGGGAGACTGGGTTAACCCCCTCCCCCAAATGCCTCCAGGCTTGCCCAAGTCTGAAGTCGCACACCCCCACCGGAGATTTTAGGCGGGCCATCTCTGAGTTTTCTTTCAAACACTCTGCTCTCTTTCGCCACCTTGCCTCCAGGGCAGGGACTAGTAACATGGCCAGCCCTTTTCCGCTTTGCCATGATTTTCCAATCTCCCCTTTCATCTTCTGCGCAAATACACACACACAGAGAGAGAGAGAACCTCTTGGGCTGCCCCAGGGCTCCTTCCCACCTCTGCCCCCGAAATCATAAATTCCTAAAGTGCATTTAGGCCTCTGTTTGCACCTTCCTTGCGGGGAGGGGCACGGCTCTCTGACCTGCCTGGCTTTCTCACACACCCCCCTGGAAACCCCCTCATCCGAGAATCAGTCAAGCCCCCTGCATTTGAGTTTTCCATTTTTTGAACGTCCCCCCCCCCCTTTCTGACCTCCCTTCCCTAAAGTGACCCGTTTGGGGTATTTTTCCTTTCTGGGCCTGCCTTGAACGCACCCTTGCCCGAGGCACCCCAAATATATTCTGGCATACAAGGTCTGGGGAGGGGGGGAATCCTATTCCCAGCCCATGATGCGCAAAGAGCCCCCAACTCCGCTTCCCAAGCTGCTTCTCTCTCCCTGCCCATCTTGGGCTGTTGCCCAGCCTCCCCCTCCTCCAGGAGTCCCCCCCCCCAAATCTGCCCTCCTTGGCAATGCTGTAAACACCCCAGCACCCTCCGTGCCCCCCCCAGTCTCCCCTTTCCAGCTCCCCCCTTCCCCCCTCCCTGCCTTTCCTGTTCCTCCGCAAACTCCCCACCTGCTTCCCCGCAGGACACCCAGCAAACCGGATCCAGAGCCCCCTTTGCCCATCCTGTAGCTGCTTCGTCCTTCGGCCAGCCTCCTCGCCTGGCATCAAATCAGCCAGGTTACTAGTCCTCTTGCGGTCTGCTCTGCCTCCCGTCTATGTGGCTAGGCTCAGCCCCTCTCCCCCAAGTCTTTGCCTCCCAACCCCCCACCCCCACCCCGCCAGCAGGATTTCCACGAGGGCGCCTTTTCCCTTATTAATGAAGTTCCTAGTCCTCATGAGTCCTGAGCCTCCCCTCCCGCATAGTTCGGGGGGGGGGCAAAGAGGCGTGTCTGCGTGTGCGGGACTCCCCTCCCTCCCATTTTCCCCCTGCCCCATAGCCACTGAGCCAAGTTCCTAGTCCTCAAGCTTTCCAGGTCTGCCCCTCCTGCTTGGGGGGGTCTCCTCGCCCCCTCCCCCACTGCCCTTCCCCCCGCACCCACCTGGTGGCGCCTCCCGCGGCGGAGCCCCGTCTTTTGTCCGCCTCTCAGTCCCTCATTGCACCACTCCGCCCCACCCCGGAACTGACCTCACCCGGCCGGCCCGGGCATCCCCCGCGGCGGCGGCGGCGGCGGCAGCGAAGGCGGCGGGAAACGAGGACCGCGCGCCGCCGCCACTAGACGGCGCCATCTTGGCGGCTGTGGGCGGGGCTTCGGCGGCGCTACGTCGCCAGGCGGGCGCGGCGCTACGTCTTGGGCCGCCATCTTTGGAACGGGCAGAGGCGGGCGCGGAGGCCATGTTGGACAAGGGCAAGCTACATTTGTTGTTCAGGGTTGAAAGGAGGAGGAGGAGGACGAGGACTGTGGGGTCCTTGGTGCTATCTGAGCTTGGCTGTTTTCTTGCAGACGTTTCATGACCCAACTAGGGAACATCATCAGGGCTAGAAGGGAAGGGAGGGAAGGAGGAGGAGGAGAATGATGACTGTGGGGTCCTTGGTGCTCTCTGAGCTTGCTTGTTTTCTTGCAGACGTTTCATTACCCAACTAGGGAACATCATCAGTGCTAGAAGGGAGTGAGGTTTGCAGAGAGGAGGAGGAGGAGGAGGAGGAGGAGGACTGTGGGATCCTTGGTGCTCTCTGAGCTTGGTTGTTTTCTTGCAGACCTTTCATGTCCCAAGTCGGTAACATCACCAGTGTTCATCATTCATTCATTTTCATTCATTCATCAGTCAGACATTTCTTTACCCAACTAGGTAATATCCTCAGTCAGATGATAATATAGGATGACG